TATATAAACTCAGTAACCGGATTCTGCTAAATTTTTAAGATTCTACTATCTAACAGAAACTGTATCCATCATTATCTGAACTCTCACTCTTGCCTTCCAAAACTCAGGAATTAAATAGATGTAGATGACCCAGTATTCACTATCCAGACTTACTATCCAAACTCAGGATATGAATGCAGTAGATTCGGATTGCAAGGAATACTTGCAAATCTTATATAAATTTTTAATATAATTTCACGTGATTTACAAAATTAGCATTTTTAGCAACATGCAAGTATCCTACTAAAATCACATAAACACTGGCTGCAAAAGAGATCTGAGAAAACTTTTTTTTTAATATTTTTATTTATTTGGCTGCATTGGGTCTTAGTTGCAGCACACAGGATCTTTGTTGTGGCATGCATGTGGGATCTAGTTCCCTGACCAGGGATTGAACCTAGGCCCCCTGCATTGGGAGCGCAGAGTCTTAACCACTGGACCACCAGGGAAGTCCCAAGAAAACACTTTTTAATACCATATTTCTTAGCAATTTGCTGGAACAAGTTATTAAGTTATTGCCCCTCAATTCCAAACCCGCATCCCTTCTTCTCAATCTGCCTTAATGACACTGGAACTGGGACTCTGCAAACCACATTTCTGCTTTGCCAGCTGATTTCCTATAAGGCTCTGCCAAGAGGGAGCACTAAAGATGGACTGCATGCCTGAAGAAGAAAAAAGATGCTTGGGCCTTCCTGTCTGTTCTTTGGGCTTCATAAGAGCATTACCCCAGCAAAGGTTTCTTCACCCCTGCAGAAGGTCCCCCTCACAGTAGTAAGTGAATAAAGTTTGCAGTTTTTCTAACACTTACAGAACTAGCTTAATCATACCCGACTCAAAGACCCCAGCACCAGCCAGCACCCTTCCCCAGAGTTCTGAGTTTCAAATCTATGGGATTTCTATTCTGAGCTCGACACAAGCACTAGCATGTAGTACCTTCTCCTCGGAGATCTGAATTTTGTTTCCACAGGACCCTTCCTCTAAGTCTCTAAGTTTTCCCTTTGGTCCCCAAGCACTTAGGGCTCACAGCTGCTTCTAGAAGTGTCTATCTCCATGATAACTCCAAGTTTTATTTTTATCCTTTCTGTTACCTAGTTAACAACTTTAAATCTAGTTAATGATTCTATTAAAATCTCTGTTCAAATAACTGGTGTGGTTTCTGCCTCCTGATAGAACCCTGACTAATAAAAGAAAACAGTCTCATTATACTGTAATAGTATATGATGTTATTATAATAACGTTTGTTAAAATGCAATTCTACCCATACTAGCAATTAAAGAAGAACAAAATGATAATTAAGAGCAATTTGATTAAAATTAAGAGTATACTTAGCTATCACTACAAAATCTTTTGCAACCATTCTTTTAAAGAAAATTGGGGGGGGTGCCTTTTTCTAACACACATAGCATCTACTGGAATAAAATTACATGATAAGACGACATTAACAAGGGCTATCTCTGTCTTCCCAAATTTTCTACAATAATTGGTTTAACATTACTTTTTTTTTTTTTTTTTTTTTGCGGTACGCAGGCCTCTCACTGTCGTGGCCTCTCCCGTTGCGGAGCACAGGCTTCAGACGCGCAGGCTCAGCGGCCAAGGCTCACTGGGGGCCCAGCTGCTCTGCGGCATGTGGGATCTTCCCGGACCGGGGCACGAACCCATGTCCCCTGCATCGGCAGGCGGACTCTCAACCACTGCACCACCAGGGAAGCCCTAAGATTACTTTTTAATCATAAAAATACAGTAAATTTTTAAAAATAATTTTAACACATTCAGGTTAAACAAGGATCCAATATCATCTATAGAAAACAATATTTAACTTGTTTACCCTAAATATTTAAAGGGCAGAGGAAGAGATTTAATTCATTTACTAAGTACCCTCTCCTACCCAACAAATTTTTTAAATGTCACATACTTTCATTCCACTCCCCATCTTCGCTTCACATTAAGTCATCTACTCCCACTCCCACCTATGTTTACAACCCCCCACCTGCCTACCCATTTTCTCATTCCTAGACACACGGTCCAGTTCTCCACCAACTCAAATGCTTTCTTGTCTTGAGGCTAGCCACTTTCTAGATATATAGGTAGTATATGCAGGTATATACAAGATATAAAGGTAGTATATACAAAGAGAGTTATGGCAAACAAGCAATGTTGGTCAGCAGATTTGAGATTTCCTGGGCTTCCCTGGTGGCGCAGTGGTTAAGAAACCGCCTGCCAATGCATGAGACAAGGGTTTGAGCCCTCGTCCAGGAAGTTCCCACATGCCACAGAGCAACTAAGCCTGTGTGCCACAACTACTGAGCCTGTGTTCTACAGCCTGTGAGCCACAACTACTGAGCCCACATGCCACAACTACTGAAGCCCACGTGCCTAGAGCTCATGCTCTGCAATGAGAAGCCACCGCAACGAGAAGCCTGCACACCACAAAAAAGAGCAGGCCCCGCTCGCAGCAACCAGAGGAAGCCCGCATGCAGCAACGAAGACCCAATGCAGCCAAAAATGAATGAATTAATTTAAAAATTTTTTTAAAAAAAGATTTCCTGCTCCACTTCTATTTGGATAGTGTAGTTGGGAGGTCGTTTCTGGCTTTAGGAAGACTCTATGGGAAAGCAGACTAAAATTTATTGTGGTTTTAAGTAATCCAGTTTCTCTTCCCTTTACCAAAAAATAGTTATTCTTTTCTTTTCCTTTTATCAAACCAAAGCTAGCTTTCAGTTAGAAAAACCAATAACAAACAATGGTCTTCTACCCATACATCTGAGAATGCGAATTCTCTGCTTCACAGAAGGACCATATAGAATATTACAAAAAATGAAAGATTAGGATATAAGGATACTAAATATCTCAACTCAAATGCCAGAGAGTTTCTCAGTTTATTAACTAAATGCTAAACTTATAGGCATATCCACAAAAATTTGATTCTAGGATATTATACACTAGAATTATAACAGTGAGCAGGTTATAAAATAATTCATGGCATCTCTTTCATCATCTCTTCCAATTATATAATTCTATCAAGCAAAAGAGGTTAGGCATATATCATTCCTAACCCAATGTCATATACAATCTTCACCTAAACATAACTATTCAAATAAAGGGATTTAAAATCCCAGTAAATGAGTTTAATATATGACTGTTTTGGCATAACCCACAAATAAAGTATCTTTAAGGAACTCTATGATCAGTGGAAGATCAAAGTCTGCAAAAATATCCTGATATGGTCATATCTAAAGTTTTAAATATTCAAAAAAAGGGTAAAGTGATTCCTCCAACCATATTAAACAAAAGGACTCTTAAGTGAAATTAGTTCTACAGCAGCTTTGGGGATTAAAGAAGTCTTTTTTTTTTTTTTAAGTTCTTTTCAAAACTATACAGGTGTCCCTTGTTGGGAGGTGGGGGTGGGGGCACATGGACTCCAACAAGGTAGAGAAGTAATCACTCCACCTACTTCCATTATAAGCTGGAAGATGCATTCTCAGGGAAAGAAATGCCATAAGGACATGGAGTGAAGCTCTCCTACTGAGGAAAAGGAGAGCCAGCCTTAGTCTCATAAAAATTCAAGTATATAAAAACTAAAAAGGCAACTTTATTTTTCTTTGGTGGCATTCTGAACCACCAGAATTTCTTTCATGCCTAAGGATTCCTTGACTTCACATTCATGGCTCTAATAATTTCGTATCCCTCCTCTCTCTCTTTCCTGCCCTCCAAAGCTGGTCAATTCCACCTCTCTTCATCACTTACTCTGTTCCAGCCACATTGACCTCCGTCATTGCTCCTCCAACCTAACGAGGCAAGTCTCCTGCCCCAGCAGCTCCTGAATTCCCTCTGCCCAGAACGCTTATCTTCTACCTACCCAACATATGTTTCATTCCATCACTCTTTCAGGTCTTCATTCAAATGTCGCCTTTTCAGTAAAGCTTTCCCTGGCTACCCTATGTAAAATAACCCTATCTATATTTCCTATTCCCGTTCTCTATTTTATTCTTCATCTTAGCTCTTATCACTGTCACTATCTAACATATACGTCTTACTTTTTTTATTAATTACCCCGCCACCAAAAATGTAGGCCCAATAATTACAAGATTTTTATCTGTTATGTTCAATACTGTAGCCCCAGCATTTAGAATAGCTCCTGACAACATATTAGGTGCTCAATATGCTGAACAAATAAATGATACAGCTAGCTACAACACCACATGTAACTGGTAAGTGCTGCCATCAACAATTCATATTCTAGTCTGAAAGATCCCAATTAACAGATTAGATTTAGGTTATTTTTTCAAACTGTGCGCTGGGAACTAGAGTAATCCCTCAGGGGCAACCGTGGTGGTAGAACATGGAAGCCCAAGCAAGCAGAAAAGCCCGAAATTTATCTGCTTTATTCACAGGTTTTCACTTAAGATTTAATTTATAGAAAGGATTTAGCAACTTCAAAAAAATCTAAAACCACTGGGTTGAATACAACTTAGTTCCTATTTTTTTACATTTTACTTATTTATTGTAAATGAGGATAATCTAGGTATCATATTTATATCATCCTTTAAAAAGAGATTTAAATTACCATCTAGTCTTATTTAATAATCTGCTACAAAGGCAATAAAAATTTACTATGTATTTTCTAATTAAAATAAGTAGAAACAAGATTAGTATTTTTTTAAAAAAGGAATAACAAAGAAGAGTAAAATTGTTATTTCATGTACAAGAACATATGTAAATTCACTAAGTGGAGATTAAGATCCAAATCCCACTACCACAAATACCTCTGTAAGCAAAAATATGTCCCAATCTCACAAAATAGCACTATTTACCAAAACAAACTACAATATTTTATTCTGATTCTAATATGATTCTAATATGACTTGACCAGCATAACTTTTAAAATGTTACATGTTCTAATATGACTTGACCACCATAACTTTTAAAATGTTACATGTTCTAATAAAAAGAAGAGCACTAACCTTAATGAAGTTACAGATGGACAAGCCTGTCCATACAAACCCATCTGGCCACAAAGAGAATCTGAAAAGTAAAGGAGAGTTAGTTATCAGATGCTCCAAAATAAATTAAACTATAAATCACACTACCATTCTAAAACAGAAATAGAACGCTAAAAGATTCACCATTATTTGAACACATACCCACAAAATTTAAAAATGCTGTTAAGCAATAAGACAGATTACACTGAGGAAAACTGACATACGAGGAAGCACAAGAAAAATAGGCACACTATAACTGTAACATCCAAAAAAGCTAAAAACTCATAAAATTTAACAAATTGTTATTACTCTTAGTTACAGATAGTGTCCAAACTGTTTAGTAGAATCCTAAGGATTCCAGAGAGGTGCCTAAAGGCTACCAAAGAGCTGAGCATGCAGGTTCCCATCCCCACATAATTGTCTCCCACCCCATCTACCCTTCAATCAAAGCAGTGCTATCTTTGTTGGTTTTGCATAATGGACTTCACTAAAACTTCATTTGAAGAACAGTTCCACTGCTTAAAAAAAAAAAAAAAAGTTAAGAATAGCATTGAACAGAAGGAGCTTTGTTCAAATTCTAGCTGTGACACTAAGAGACCTTGAAGAATTTATATAACCTCAGTGAACCTCCATTTCTTCATCTGTAACTTGAGGATAATACCACCTGTAACTTTATTTATTCATCAGGGATAAACTGCAGGTTTGTTATTAGAATTAAACAAATCACTAAACAAATGTGAAACTATTAGCACTACTACCTGGCACAAGGATGATCCACAAATGTCTACAGGTAACATGAATGAGAGAAGCTGGAATGGTATAAATATGCATACACAGCACAAATGGAGATTGTGTGCCTGCAACTGAAGAAAACAGGTTCACTCTGAAAAGATCAGCTGCTATTCCCAGTTCTAGCCAATTGTTGCTAAGCAGGATTGAAAGCCCAATACTGTTAAGAACTAATTTTTCTAGAGAAGCAAGATACCCAAAATTTTATCTGAAATCTCCTGATTTTTATTTTCTAAATACTATGTGGGCCAAACAAACCACTGGATGTTGTCCCAAGTTTATAACTTTTAACTTAGCAGCTGACTGAATTCCCTGCATCTTACTGTCCCGTGCATGCACTGAAGAGAGATGGACACTTCTACTTCTGCTAGAACAACAGAATAGATAGCTTGATCAACATGCCCACTGGAAATAACAAACACTGGATCAATTTTTTTAATCTTTACATATTAATCAATAACCTGAAAGAAAATAAAGTACGATCAAGGCTAAAAACTAAGTGAAAGAGGTAAACTAGAGATGTATGCAGAGTACTGAAACCAGCTTTCATTCACCTTCAGGGCATTTTGCCAAACCCTATGAATTTCAGCTTGCAATTCCAAGGCCTATTAGAGCTCAAGGTACAAGAGGCAAAGTCCAGGTGTTACCCAAGCGAACTGCAAGGGAAACTTAACCTTGGCACTGAGTGCTGGTGAGGGATTGGGGGGCTATGAGAGCAGCTCAACAGTATCTCCTCAGACACTCACAACCAGAAGCTGACCCTCACCTAGATTATGGCTTAAAAAGCTTCATACTTAGAATTTTGTTTAGGGTAGTCCTAGAATAGTAATGTCTCCCATCCAACCTTGACAGAAGGAAATGAAAATCCTCTCTGGGGAATCTGCCTTTGATCTAGGCCTGGGAGAATTCTCAAGGATAAGGTCCCAAAATAAATAAATTCACAATCAAAAATCACAAAACCAGAAGGAAACAAGCCACTCAAGAGTAAGATACAGCTGAAACATCAGCTGGCAGACTCAAAACCTCAAAGACCTCAGATAACGGGAATTACTAGACACTTTTCTCTACTGTTTTTTACTTTATGGGTGACTTACCTACTCTTGTATTTCAAACGCCTATAATGCAGATGAATCTCAAATCTACATCTCAATCAGGGATCAAACTCCTGATCTCCGAACATAAATATCTAACAATCCCTCCCAGAAATCCCAAATTTACTATGTCTAAAACTGAATTCATTATCTTTTTTTTAATGTATTTCCTATCTTGATAAAATGGCACAGTCCTTTATCTAAGAATGGCTTTCTTTTCCTTTGTTAGAGCAGGACACTTCTTTTCAATTCCTGATTTCTATGAGGAATGACGTCTCTAAACATCCCTGGGCTCCCAGCCCACTCCTCACCAAGTGCGTAGAGCTAACTCCAGGACTCTACATCCAGTATTCTACAAGGTAGTTACCTGGGTATGACTGCTCTGTTGACTCTAACAACCTAGACATCAGGTAAGCTGTCCAAATTGGGTGGGCAGGGACAAGAGAATGTGGAGAGTCAGCCAGCCCATTTGTCTCTTAAACCTAAATCACATTCTACAACATTCTACAATATCAGCTTTATCAAAAACAAAGGTAAATTCTTACAAAAGACACCATAGGACCCAGCAATTCTACTCTTAGCGGTACGTGTGTGTGTATTTTTATGTATAAAAAATTTAAATATATGTATATATACATATATACATATATATATACATACACATATATATATACACACACATATACATACATATAAATCCTCTTGGGAATACATATATACGCACATATATGTATCCCCAAGAGAACGTAAAACATATGTTCACACAAAAACTTGCATACAGCTTCCTCTTCCAGTAAGCAGCCTGAGGTGACCTCTAAAAATGGTTCGCTATTCACTTGACCCAGAAAACCCCACAAAATCATGCAAGTCAGGAGGTTCAAATCTTCGTGTTCACTTTAAGAACACTCGTGAAACTGCCCAGGCCATTAAGGGTATGCATATCCGAAAAGCCACCAAGTATCTGAAAGATGTCACTTTAAAGAAGCAAAGTGTGGCATTCCATCATTACAATGGTGGAGTTGGTAGGTGTGCCCAGGCCAAACAGTGGGGCTGGACGCAGGGTTGGTAGCCCAGAAAGAGTGCTGAATTTTTACTGCACATGCTCAAAAATGCAGAGAGTAATGCTGAACTTAAGGGCTTAGATGTAGATTCTCTAGTCACTGAGCACATCCAGGTGAACAAAGCCCCCAAGACGTGGCACAGAACTTAGAGAGGTCATGGTCGGATCAAGCCATACATGAGCTCTCCCTGCCACATTGAGACGGTCCTTACTGAATAAGAACAGATTGTTCCTAAACCAGAAGAGGAGGTTGCCCCAAAGAAAAAGATATCCCAGAAGAAACTGAAGAAACAAAAACTTATGGCCTGGGAATAAATGCCACAAAAAGTAAATGCAAATAAAAATAAATTTAAAAAAAGAAAAACACAAGCAAAAAACTTGCATACAAATGTTCACAGCAGCATTTTTTTTTTTTTTTTTTTTGGAGTACGGGGGCCTCTCACTGTTGTGTCCTTCCCCGTTTTGGGCGCCAGGTTC